AACAGCATTTTATAGGGGAAAATGGGCTAATCAGGTGATTCGCTAAGATATGAAGGGTCAGGATGCCGTGTCAAAGGTGGCCAGATTTGTCGGGAGTCTAAAGCTCAGGAAAGAAAAAATAAATGCTGCCACCGAGCAGTGACAGCGGAGGTGCGGGAGGTGACACAGAAGCAAAGATGTGTAAGAGGTAAACATGACATCGTTCTGGCAGAGTAGCTGCAAGGTTTACAGCTTGAGTTGCTGGGTGAATGGTGATATGGTGAGATCAGAAATTTCAAGAGCTGCAGAGTTTTGTTTGACATTTTTGTTTGTTTTTTGATGGTGGGAGGACAGTTTTGTACCTGCCGAGTTCCTACTGGAAAAGGTTTGGTGTGCACTTGAATATACAGACCTAGAAACCTGTGTAGAAGGTCGGGGCGGGGCCTGGACGTAGATATCATCGGTCCACAGATGAGAGCTGTAGTCGTCCGTGAGTGTGGCTGACAAGTGCCACCCGTGTCCCTACCGTCTCAGCTACACCAGTCCCTTGCCTTCCTGGTTTTGGCAATCACACTTCTGAGGTTACGCTGTCTAGTATTTGGACGAAGTTTTCCAAAGCTTCAATTTTTTTTTAATGCAAATTGGAATTCCATCCCTTAAACAGAAGCATAAGGAGGCCTGCCAGTCCTTCCTCTCGGCCCACGTGGGCGTGTCGGCGGCAGCGTAGAGAGGCAGACTTACTTTTGTTGTCCCTCTTGCCACAGTCATCCCCACAAGCCAGGAAAGACTTCAGCTCCACCTGAATCTGAGGAAAGACCAGGCGCTTACACTGGCATTCTGCTGAGACTTGCAAGATCAAACCAAGAGGAATGCAAATGTAAATGAAGTTGACTTTCTCGCCAGTAAGAACTGGTTCTAAAGCTATTTTTGAAAGGTACAGTTGGCATGACTTTAAAAACTTGTGTAAGAATGCTTTAGCAAATCCCTGCTCACAGCTTCCGGAATAAACAGAGATGATTCAGGAGAAGGGTTACTTACTGGAGCCAGAGTTTTCAAAATGTCTTTTTCAATTTTGTTAGAAATTACCAAATTGCTTGAAAAGGTCGGAACCAATTTTTTAATACAGATTTTTTTTTTCAGTAGGTGTCTTCCATACGTTTAATTTGTGGTGGTGTTTAAGAAATAGAGAATAATACCAATTTACGGTTTTTCCTTCCGTCCCATTTTCGAGGATTGCCCGATCTTGTTTCTCCAAGGTCTGTACTTTTGCATGATGTCATCGAATGCTGCTGGGCATGGGACAGCCACACTTGCCATCCTCCGGACGGCTGCTGTTCTGTCACATGTCAGTGCCTTTGCACAGGCTCCGCCTCGTGCACCTTGTGAACTTGCCCCTTCTCCTCTGCAAACCCTTCCCACCCCCTCTCCACTGGAAAAGAGTCAACCAAGTGGCTGTCTTGTGTGTGTCACCTCTGCACAGAGAAGTCACTCAGTGTGGTGACTAGTTTGTGACAGATCTCCTGCCTGCCGAACGAAGGCTTCTCATGAGCAGAGCCCTGGGGCCTTGCACAGTGCCGCACGCACAGCAGGTGCTCAGTCCGTGGGCTCGCCGAAGAGAAGGCACCAGGGCAGGAGGAAAGAGCATGAACTTTTAAGGAGCCCTGAAAAATCTGGGCAGAAGGGGCCCGAGACAGAAGAGGAGAAACCAGAAGCAGGGGACTTCAGAGGGAGGCTGGTCATTACCGTTCTTTGCTATCGAGAGCCAGCGAGGTGTATCCTGGAACCCATGGTATTTTCAGGAACTGAGAGAAGATGGGCTCAGCCATGACCACACCCCAGACAAGACTGCAGATGTCGTTACCAGCACCGAGCACAGCCGTGTCGCCAGTGACGGTGGCCCGTGGCCTCCTGCAGAGACGCTGCTGAGGAGCCGTGTGACCTGGCGATGTACATGGCATCGGCATTCTACACACGAAGAATGGAATTTCACCTTTGGCGGTTAGGAGGGAGGGCCAGGCTTACCGTGACAACTTGTGAATATTCTCATTCAGTCCAAACCCAGCTAAATTTTCAGTGGTTGTCATTCATGCTGTCTGCCCATTTAAATATTTTGAAAGGGAAGTTCACTTTTTTCGTGTTCACAGATTTAATACTACTTTTAAATAAGTATTGTTCTTCGTTTTCATTGCCTTAAAATTTTTAACGATAGCAAATTCAGCTTCTCCCCACTGTTCTCTTTAAGGACATAATTAGATTCCTATCTGTGTAGAGCCCCTGTGAGGGGAGAATGAGTTGGGCGGGACAGGGACTCATGAGCCCCTTGGGAATTCTCCAGCCTTCTCTTATATCGTTGAATTTTTAGAGGATCAGGGGCTCGGGATACCTCCATAGTAGAGTAGGGGTTTTTTTTTTCTCTTATATCGTTGAATTTTTAGAGGATCAGGGGTTCGGGGTACCTCCATAGTAGAGTAGGGTTTTTTTTTTGGTTTTTTTGGTTTTGTTTTTTTTTAACCTAATTATAATTTAAATCTCAGGAAAATATAATACTTTAATTAAGTGCCTTGTAATAGGAAAATCTGCAACATGGATACTTTCTTATTAAAGCAAAACTCTGAATTCCTTTGTTCTTTCTCATTTTCATCCCACGAACCCAGTGACCTCCTGACAGCTCAGCTGAGTGGGACAGGCCCAGGTAGGTGAGCCGGACCACTCCATGACCCTACAGAATCTGCTTAAAGCCAAGAATTGTTTTAGGAAAATGGAGAAAGACTTTTCAACTTCTTTTAGATTTATACACATTTAATAATGGTGTTGCGATTTGAAGCACGGACTTGAACATGAGCTTTGGAATCAGGCAAACCCTAATATTCAGGTCTTCTTTCCCAGTTCCTAGATACTAGACTCACTGCCTCAGTGCACAGAACAGGGTCACGAGGAAGACTCCGTGAGATAATGCACGTCCAAGGCTTAGCGTAGAACCTGGCCAGTACGAAGCCTGCAATAAATGATGGCTGTTATTACGATGCGTTCCGGATGTATAAGTACCTAACTCTGTGCTTCCAGCCAGCCTCTTAAAGACAGAGACAAAACTAGCTGTGCACACTACACAGCTGTACCTGTTCCATGCTGTGAGTGATGATAACACCTTTCTTCAGAGACTCACATTTCATATCACATATACTGTTATTTAGACCCATGATGACACTGTGAATTAGGGGAGACTAAACTGTCACTAAAGAGCTCGAGCTTTTGTCTGTTATTGTTCTCTTTCCCCCAGTTAGCGTCCAGTATTTTGTGTCCTAAAACTCTACCTTGCTGTGGATTTGAAATTTAAACACTGTTCTTGAGATTTGGCTTATGGAAATGTTTTGGGGTTTTTTTCCCCTATTATTAAAGCATTATCTCAAACTTTAAACAATACTTTTTATTTCTTTACTAGAAAAAAAATGTATTTTCATTAAGCTAAGGGAGATTCGAGCGGTCTCATGGGCTTTTAAAAATAGTTTTGTATGAACCACTCATTGTTTTGAAATTTAGGGTACATTTCAACCTGACAAAAATGGTTGTAAGTCCTGCGAGGGAAACGGTGTAGGTGTTTCTGAGAATTAGTAAAACAACTCAGAAATCTCAATAATCTAATTATGTAAATACAATTGTTGGATTATAATTATAATTGTTGAATTATATTGGCAACCGTAATCTGGACAGACTTGTTAGAAAAATGCTTTTTTCTTCAAGAAATCTGTTGTCGTCTGAAGAGCCATTGCTGAAGAATAAGGAGAACAGTAGAAGTCCTCAGTGTGGCAGTGTCCTTACTCAGGGAGAGAGACCCAGCTCTTACATTTAACAAACAATGACAGCGACTCGCCTCTAGGACCTGAAGCCAACAGTGATTCCTGAGCCGACGACCCCTAAGGCCTTGCTCAGGCTCTGTGCGGCAGACCCCAGGCACTGGGAGGGAGAAGGCAGAGCCTTCTCGTCTTTATCTTCTGACCCACACTACAGCCAGACAGGACATGAGAGGTGTGACAGTGTGTGTGGGGGGGAAGGGGGGAGGAGACAAGGGGACACAGAGGACACAGCCCTGGCGCACAGCTGGAGAGGATAGATTAGAGTCAGGATTTCTGCACAATGGGTTAAAGAAATGAGTAGAGAACATTCCACATAAATAGAGCAAGGGGGAAGGGACACGGGACAGCACAGTGCAAAATCCGGAAGAGAAAGGAAGAAAATATGTGACAGGTCAAGGCAGGAATCTAGGAAATGCCGGTTTTTCTCAGGCCACCAAGGCGACTGACCCTTAGGCGAAGGCCAGGCAGACGCTCACGAAGATAGCAACTTCCGCTTTGTATTTGGAAGCCGTCATCATTGCCATGGCCACGGCTCGTTTGCTAGACCTCTGACCTCCCCGCCAGACAGCTGAACTTGGGTGCAGCCACCTGCCAGGTAGAGCACGGGATGGAGGGCCGCTGGCAGGGCTGGGCTCCCGGCATGGCTGCTTCTCCCAGCCACGGGGTTCCTCCCTGCTCATCACCCATCTGCATCCTCTCCCGGCCAACTTTCAGTCGGCTGCCTGCCAGAGAAGGACTTTAATAAAGACGGATGTGTCTTCTGCGTCTGCAGTTTGGAACAAAAAGTTATGAGGGCATGTGAAAATATTTCTCAAAAACTTTAAAAACTATAAGCATTAGTAAGTAAGGAAAATGAGACCAACAGTTTGCATTCGTTCCCAAGCAGTGAGCTGTGTTTGCTTTATGGCATCGTGCCAGTGAAACAGAAATTTCACCCGGCGACCACTACCTGCTTTTACTCCTGTCCGTGGGAGCACGATGGTGCCCAAGCCGCATTTGCTCAAATTCCCCTAAGGACTTTTTGCTTCTCTCCTCCCCTGTGCTGGTAAGCATTAAAGGAGGGGCCGTTTAGTAATTCTACACCTGGTCAAGTCCACGCCTATTGACTCTCTGAGCTTCCCACATAAGACTGAGGCAAAGCATGCCGGTGTCTGAGCCTGGCCAGAGCTGGCCCTGGCCGGAGGTGGCCCTGGCCACCGCTGGCTTTGGCTCTGCAGATTCTCGTTAAGATTTTCTAATGCATCTCCTACGATGGCAGTTGACGACAGCAATTTATATTCCAGGACGAAGAACAAGCTACATGCGGCTCAAAATGATTATAAGTCATCAAGACGGAGTAGTCTGCCACCTGAACTACTCCTAGGACATGACACTAGAGGAAGACTTCAAAGAAACATTAAAAACTTGGAGCCCGTTCACCTAAGGCGCCCGAAAAAGAGACCATCCATATTTCCAGGTAGGGCTTGTTAAAGTTTACGCCCGTCGGTTAAAAAACAAAACAAGACAAAACAAGGACTGTCTTTCATTTGTTGCGATCGGATGTGTTACATTTAAAATTAACTTCCGCCCGTTTCAGAGCTTAAAGTAGCCAGAGACATGTTTGAATGAAAACATAGAGTGGGTCTCGGATCTGAAACACCCCATCTTCTTTCTTGTATTTTCTTTATTCATTGCGACATCTCTAAGGGGCGGGTGACTCGGCGGCCGTTTCAGTGCTGCTCAGAAGCAAGCAGCCTTGCTCCCGGTCCTGAAGAAGCTCATGCTGCTTTTCATTCTCTGGCACATTTTCTTTATTTTGCAAGGTGATTGCATTGTTGCGTGAAGCCGATATTTGTGTGCCCCAGAAATTAACACCGCTGAATACTCGAGTGCATGCTTCAAATTCCTGTCTTGCATCAGAGCCTCAAACCATTTGTGGAAAAGAGCTCAGTTAAGCAATGAGGAAGGTGAAGGGTATGAGCTCAGAGGACCCAGGCTTTTTAGTATCAGTGAAGAGACTCCGATGTCTGCGTTAGATGTCCGTCTGCCTGGATACGCCAGGTGACAGACGGGGAGATAGTGGAAGACGCCTGTGATGGCGAGCCCCACCTGAGGGATCATGGGAGAGTATAATTATTTGGCCAACACTATTTCCATACTATTTGCAGGGGAATTTCCTGGAGAAACTGGAACGTGGCCTTTTTGTTGTGATCGATTGATTTCTTAGAGTCTTTACACAGGATAGATTAGACGCGACTGCCGAGGGCTGACTCCACGGTGATAGAAAAGGGAAAAATAATCCCATCAGGTTTTACTTCATAACATGGATCGTGATTTCTCTGACAGCCGAGGCTTTATATTGCTTTAGGAAGTAGCGACGAGGTGATTTAGAAATATGGGACTCAAGGCCACGAGCTGAAAATGACATTTCTTAAGGAAGATGTTGTTTTTGTGAGTTTCTCCTCGGTTCGGAGAAGCTGGCCTGCTGTCAAACTCCTCTGCAGGAACAAGCAAAGCCCAGACTCGATCGCGGCAGAGGTGGAGGCCTGTGAGTGTGCCGGGAAGGGTGGGGGCTGACGCTGTATGGAAAACGCTGTCAGGAGGGGCGTGTAAGTGTCTAAAACACACAGGTGCTTTCCGCCTGTTCTCAGATCTGCACGACATGAAGCCTTATCTGTTGAGTTGGGTCCCTGGCACTTTTTCCGGAACTTTCTCGGAGGCCTGTTGTTCATCTGCCGCCTTTCCTTCTCTACCCCGGTTCTCTGGGTCGATGTGTCAGGATCCTAGGATCCTCGTATGCTCTGATTCTTCCTGCTTTCCTGCACCCTGCCCCCAGGCAGCCCCACCCCCACACTCCGTGAGGGCTTCCCCTCCCTACAAACAGCGAAGTCCCAGGACCCCTCACCTCCTCCGGCCACGATTCCCATTTCGGCCTCTCTTTCTACAAGGCCACCAGCTCTGGGCTGTCAGCTACAGTCACAAAATCGTGAGACCTCTTCGCTTGGCTCTCACACACACATTATCCTCTCTAAGGTCCTGCGTTGTCATAGTTCATGTGACCGGTAGAGTGTGAAAGAGCATCGATCTTAGAGGGGCCGAATTCTAGTCTAGGCTGTGTCTCCAAAGGGCTGTGTGTGTTTTCAACGTCACCTCACTGACATCTGTGACCTTCAAGCACATTATTTGTTCCTGCCTATTTCTGCCTCCCGCTCCCTTCCTTAGAGACAGCACGGGAAATGGCTCTTCCCGTCCTTCTCTTGACCTCTCTGCCAGGGTCTCCAACTGACGAATCAGAGTCACCCGCCCAAAGTTTGAACACAGCTGGCTGCTTGATCTCTAAATTCCCTTTAACTAAACCTGGACTCCATTGTCACACAGGTGGCATGAGCTTCTTTTTACAAGGAAAGCTTAGAAACGCCACTGGGCTGCAAATCCCACCTCCCCTCCCAAACACCCACTGAAAACAGAAGTGTACGCAGACCGTGAGAGCCCATCCCATTTTATGTCGCACAGAAAGGGCGGATGGCCCATGGGACCCGAGGGTCAGAGAAATGAAGGCACAACTCAGAGTTAAAGACAGGCAGAACCAGGGCTCGGCCCTGGGTCTTTTGACTCCAGCAGCGAAGCCGCTTCCCTCTGTGATGCTGCACTCCAGGGTCACCTGCTGTCCTCTGCCCGAGGACTTGAGAACACGTGCATGTTCCACGACACACTCACTCGGACCTTTACACTCGCACAGATGACTTTATCCTCCGCCTCGGCTCTCACACTTCCAGTCCCGGGCTGCATGACTGATTGGCTGATCAGTTCACTCATTCATTCGCTCATTCACTCATTCGTTCATTCATTAAATACTCATTTCATCCCGCACTGTGTTAGGGATGCAGTTTCAAGGGTGCAGCTACATGCTGCTTTCTGTTCCTATCCTCCATTTCTCCTGAGGGCCACCTCACAGAGTGGACAGTCACACGCCCCAGATGCAAATCTGTTTGTTTCATTCTCTTAAAATCCTTCGGTGGTCACCACTATTCGTAGGACAAAGTTCAGACTCCTTCGCGGGAAGGGCGAGAGGCTGCGTAATCTGGCCACTGCTTTCGTCCCCTGTCCCATCTGGTAGCCTGCCTTCCCCTTCCGTCCTCACAAACGCAGCTGCTCGCAGCCTGTCACGCTCGCTCGTCCAGGGCAGGTGCAGAGCCCACCCCCCCTCATTCCTACCTTGGCCACAGGGGACAGCTCAACACCCTTCTTCTCGGAAGTGCTCCTGACCCCCGCGTCAGTCTGGGTCCATGCCATGTCCTTCCCATAGCACCCGCATTCTCCCCGCCACAGCACCTACCGCACTGCGAGGTGACTGTCATTTACCCGTCCGCGTGTCCACTGGCCAGTGAGCCAGGGACCACATCAGAGTCGTTAACCGCAGTGGCCCTGGTGCCTGGCACCGCGCCTGCCACATAGTCTGCGCTCAGTCACAACATCTTCAGTGGACTCGTATGGGGCCGAAGCGAACCAACTCCCGGGCATGCACAGCCCGCGCGGCTCCTGCGCCCTTCCTCCGTGGTCCGGCTGGGCTCCCAGCCCCAGTCAAGGCCTCTGTCTTCCGCAGCCCATCTCCTTCCCTGGCCTCCCTGAGCTCTCCATGGTGCTGCCCGTCTCCTTGGCCTCAGCACTGCATGAAGCTGTAAAAAAGAATCCCGCCCTGGGATTGTGTTCAGTGGTCTTGGGCTGCGCCTGGGTTCGGGGTCACTTCGTTACTTTGTGGCAACAGAGAGTATATACCTTATATGTCCCCAGATGGCCCAATTGTCGGAAAGGGGGAATCGCACATAGTAGGTGTTCAGTCGACGTCTGGTGGTTCGTTAACTAATTTGCTGTGAAGCTGTGCCCACCCCGCGGCGCCTCTCTGATTACAGCTCCAAGAAGGACCGAGTGGCCACAGAGGCTGTCCATGAGGATGGCCTTTACGCTGATGTGCGTCATTGTAAGAAGTCCTGGCAGGGGACATGTATCTGTCCCCTCTCTCAGTATGTAAGCCACTCAGCGAAAGGTATGCTGGGATTCTGCCCCACGCCAGGCACTGTTCTAGACCCTGGGGAGAGAGCCAAGGGGAAGATGGTGTCTGCTCCAGGCTGAGGGCAGAGAATTTTCCCAGCAGGGCGTTTGCGTATCGTGCAATTCAATAAATACTTCCTGAATAAAGGAACAGAAACACCATACTCGTAGCAACAAATCTTAAGAAAAACCCGATACATTTAAAAATCATATTTATATAAAAAACGAAACATCAGAAGCCGATCGTTTTTCCTCCCCTAGAGAAACCTTGACAGTAGAATGCGACTTTGAGTTGCTCCGTCTCGGGTCCTGCAGGCCAGGTGCTAACACTGCTGGTCGTGATGCCTGCTTGCCCCTCCTGCAAGAATTCTGGCAGCCCCACAGCACTGGGATCAGCCCAGGTACAGAAAGCAAAGGGGCCAGAGACAGGCGGTCCCGACGCTCCGTGCACCCACAGGCACGTCGGAGTGAAATGAGCATCCTCTGCACCTGGAAGAAGGGGGCTCAGTTCAGGTGCCAGGTGCAACAGTCTGTTCATTCGGCCTCTTAAGCGAGCACTTTGGCGTGTTTAATCAGCTGGTTCTGAAAAGAGCCTGCTGGTTTCACAGTCATCCGCTGTGCAAAGCTCAGAGCCACCTGCTGGGAGGAAACGGTGGCCCCACGGTTCCGCGCTGTGGGGTCAGAGGGCGAGGGCCAGGAGGGCTGCTCCCGGCAGGGGCGCTCGGTCACCCAGGCCACGCACGACTCACGTGGCCGACGCGCTGGCAGGTAGGCCTCTCGATTCTCTTTCTAAGATGCTTCTGTTCAATAGGCGTTTATTTTTCCCAAATACACAATCTAAAACTATGTGATTTAATATGGCGTTTATAATCATATTGTAAACATTTATTGGCAATACAGGGTTGTCATTAGTACACTGGCAGCTAGCTGGATGTGTTCTGTCCTCCTTTGGGTGGCTGAGGGGGCTGTCCAGACAGGTTCCATCCTGAGAGCGTACTTGTCACTGGCCCAGGGAAAGACACCGGGATTAAGCACGCTTCCCCCGGTGTCATGTTCTGCAAATCGGTCATCTCGGAACTCTGCCGAGTAGTGTGTCAGTTGACATTCCGGAGGGGCCTTCGGGGACACGGAGAACTTGGTCTGGGCCTCCTTGAAGACGCTCTGCTTGAAGAGTGCTTCCCGGGGTGGTGTTCAGTTGTCACAGGCTGTGCCTGGGCTCAGTGATCCCACTGAGTGATGGCAGGGACCATGTTTCATGTACCTGTGTTCCCCGCGACACTCACCACAGGGCTTTGCATGCTGTAGGTGCATAAGAGGTGGTGACATAGTCAGGCATGGCGAAGGCGTGCGAGGATAGAGGTGACACAACCATGCCACGGGCTACACCCCAGCCCGTCTGGTCCCCGGCCCCTTCCAGAGCAGCCATGT